GAAATATACAATTAATATAGTAGTATATGTAGTCAGCCTTGACACGTGTGTACAATTTAGTAACTAGTTATGTACGAGCATAAGACTCACTCTCTTTACGGATGTAACATGACCTCGGTCGTGCATATATATAGGGCCTTTGATGTATGTAATATTCACTTGCACAGACGCTGTCATACCGAGTGTACGCGGTGTGTGTGTATAGTCACAGTTTAATTGTCCAGTTGTACGTTATTATATATTATACTTATACATAATCATATTGTCGTGTTATTACTTATTATATTAATGCTAACATCATTAGTCCGTCAAGCTTCACTTTCAACAGGTTATGGGCCCAGTCAATAACCAAGACAAACAGTCTAGTGGATTCGTGATTGAAGTATTTTTATATTTGTACTAACGCAGAAAACTACAACCAGTCGGAGATATCCTGGATTTCGGAAAACGGCGGAACAGTGTACATAGGTAAAGTTTTGTTATAAATTGTTATACAGGAAAGTATACGGGAATCCATCGGTCATGGAAGACACGGTGAAGATAACAAAATTATGTGCGGAAAACTGGTCGTTATGGAAGTTCCAGATGAAGGTCATTTTAAATGCCTTGGAAGTAGGTGAGATAGTTTCAGGTGAATGGACGAAACCAAGTCTACCTATAAAAAAGTCGGCAGGAGAGACCGACGAGGATGCCAAAGCACGTTGGCAAAGGCATATAAACGCTTGGCAAAAAGCGGACGGTAAATGTCAGAAAATAATAGTTACCTCAGTGGACGATGGTCCATTACAATATTTGATTAACTGTGAGACTGCATTGGAAATGTGGGAGAAACTGCTGAGTATTTACGAGCAGAAGTCTGAGGCAAGTATACATTTGCTTCAACAACAATTTTTCAGTTATTCAAAGGAGTCGACAGATGACATGTCGACGCATATTTCTAAATTGGTCAATTTAGGAAGGAAACTGAGAGTAGCGGGTGAACCAGTTACGGATAACATGGTTATGACAAAAATACTAATGACACTACCAAAAGAATATAATCATTTTTACAGTGCTTGGGATTCAGTCCCGACGGGAAGTAAAAATATAAATAATTTGACTAGTCGATTGTTGATTGAAGAATCACGGGTTATCCAGATCAAAGGTGAAGTTGGTGAACAAGAGAAATCGAGTGCATTTCCGGCCAAATTTCAAAACAGATCTGATGGAAGAAACGGCAGTCGTAATTATGGAAAAGGTAAAAATCAATTTACGAATAAAAGTAATATTAAGTGTTATTACTGTGGTAAACTAGGTCATTATAAAAGAGACTGTAGAAATTTTCTACAAAGTGTACACGGTGGTAAAACCGGTACTATAGGTGCGAACTTGAACGCATTCGTAAGCGAGTCAAGTATAAATAATATTGCAACAGATGCGTGGGTACTAGACTCGGGCGCGTCGGATCATATGAGCGCAAATCGAGAGTGGTTTTCAAGTTATGAACCACTGGACAATACGCAACAAATCACGATAGGTGATGGGACGAATCTGTATGCAGCAGGTAGAGGTAATATTAATATATTATCATACGTAAACGGTAATTGGAATAAAAATTACATGGCAAACGTGTTGCACGTGCCGGGACTAAAATTTAATTTATTTTCGTGCGGAGCCGCGATGGATAAAGGTTTAGTATTGACGTCAGATAGTAAGACGTGTATGTTAACTAAACAGGGGAAACCCGTATGCTCAGGTAAGAGATGCGGAAGGTTGTTTGAGTTAAACATCAAGGTCGAAGTACCGACAAACGGGTACGCGACGGTAGTTGTCGAAAACAGGTTGTCTGTTTGGCACGAGCGCATGGCACATCAGAATTTACAGTACGTAAAAAGTTGTTTGGCGAAACACGAAATAGTATGTTCGGCCAAGGACGACGAATTCATGTGCAGCAGTTGTATAATAGGTAAACAAAGTCGTAAATCATTTAGTAAAAGTAATACGGAGTATCACAATGTCGGTGATTTAATTCATGCAGACCTATGTGGACCAATGGAGGTAAGCTCTATAGGTGGTTCAAAATACTTTTTGTTATTCAAAGACGACTACTCGCATTATAGAACGGTATATTTTATTAAAAATAAATATGATATTAAAAATATTTTTGAGACGTTCATAAAAAGTGTTGAAACAGAAACAGGTTCTAAGGTCAAAATATTACGAACGGATAATGGATTAGAATTCGTAAATAAAGAAATTACGGGAATTTTACAAAAACACGGGATTCGACATCAGTTAACAGTTCCCTACACACCACAGCAAAATGGAAAAGTGGAACGGGAAAATCGTACAATAGTAGAGTCAGCGAGGACAATGATTTGTGCGAAAAATTTGGATGTATCACTTTGGGCGGAGGCGGTAAACACGGCTGTTTACACGCTTAATCGAACAGGAACCAGTTCAGTTAAAAATAACTCACCATACGAGTTATATTACAAGGTAATGCCAGACATTAAACACTTACGAGTTTTTGGTACTGTCGTATATACACACATACCAAAGCAAAAACGTAAAAAGTGGGACCCTAAAAGTGAAAAAGGAATATTTGTTGGGTATTCGGATAACACGAAAGGTTATCGTGTGTATTATTCGAAAACAAATAGAATTTCAATGTCTAGAGATATTATATTCGAAAACGAAGGTAATAAATTGGAAAATATAATTGCAGACAAATTAGAATTCACAGATACTCAGACTCAAGTCGAGGGCGATCCGGTCAAGGTCGAATTGACGACGGTCGACAACAGGAGTGGCATGGTGCTACGTGATCGGAATACATTAAAAGCGCCGATCAGGTATAATGTGTCGTCGTTCGTCGCCAATCTCGTTGAACCACTAAATCGTGATGAAGCGATAGCTGGCCCACAGAAAAACGAGTGGGAGCACGCTATGAGTGATGAAATTAAATCACTACACAAAAACAACACTTGGTCACTAGTTAATTTGCCTCAGGGCAAGGTTGCGTTACGTAATGCATGGGTGTTCAAAACCAAATATAAAAGTGACGGTAATATCGATAAGTTTAAGGCCAGATTGGTCATTAAAGGTTGTTCACAGAAATACGGTATAGATTACCATGAAACATTTTCGCCAGTGGTCAGATACGAATCAATTAGGGCGATATTCGCAGTAGCAGCTGTGGAAAAATTAATACTACGACAATTCGACATCAAGACAGCATTTCTGTACGGAGAACTACAGGAAGAAATTTACATGGTACAACCACCAGGATACGAAGATGGATCGAATAAAGTATGTAAGCTTCAGCGTAGTTTATATGGCTTAAAACAAAGTCCAAGATGTTGGAATATACGCTTTAAGAACTTTTTGAATGCATTTGGTTTACAATGTACCGAAGCGGATGCATGTGTATTCAAAGCTGATAACAGCCAAATTATTCTTGCAATATTTGTTGACGATGGTTTAATCGCGGCAGATAATGAAGAGATAATAGAGAAACTTTTAACGAACTTGGAGAAAGAGTTTGAGGTTAAAAAAGGAAACTTAGATTATTTCCTAGGTATGCAGGTAAATATAATGAAAAATGGTTCATTATTTGTGCATCAGACAAATTATGCATGTAGTATAATTAATAAATTTAATATGCTGGACGCTAAGGAACTTTCAATACCAATAGACAAATCACATACACTTGAACAAAAAGAAGATACGGAAATATTGAATGAAGATATTCCTTATAGGCAGGCAGTAGGTAGCTTACTGTTCTTATCACAGGTAACAAGACCAGATATAGCATATGCAGTAAACTTTGCTAGTCGTTACTTAGCAAAACCAACTAAAGCTCATTGGAACTTGGTAAAACGGATTATACGATATATCAAGCGAACATTTAATTATGGCTTGTACTTTAATAACAAAACAAAATTGTCATTAGAAATATTTAGCGATGCAGATTACGCAGGCGACGTTCGACGTCAGGATTTCTATTCAGGTACGGGTCAAGCATAATTTCATGGACATCGCAGAGACAACATTGTGTGTCGTTATCATCGACAGAGGCTGAATATATTTCGGCCAGTGAAGCTGTCAAAGGGATCTTGTGGATTACACGGTTGATAACAAGCTTATCGACAACAGGTGACAAACAACCAGTTTTATTTATAGATAATCAGAGTGCTATACGTTTAGTTAAGAATCCGGAGTTTCATAAGAGGACAAAACATATAGACGTACGGTACCACTTCATACGGGAGAAATACGAAGAGGGACAATTCCAACTACAGTACATTGGAACAGAGGACCAGATTGCGGACATTCTAACCAAGCCTTTGGTTAAGGAACGATTCGAGAAGTTGCGGTCAGCCATAGGAGTGACTACAATTAAAGAGATTATTAATTGAGGGAGGGTGTTGAAATATACAATTAATATAGTAGTATATGTAGTCAGCCTTGACACGTGTGTACAATTTAGTAACTAGTTATGTACGAGCATAAGACTCACTCTCTTTACGGATGTAACATGACCTCGGTCGTGCATATATATAGGGCCTTTGATGTATGTAATATTCACTTGCACAGACGCTGTCATACCGAGTGTACGCGGTGTGTGTGTATAGTCACAGTTTAATTGTCCAGTTGTACGTTATTATATATTATACTTATACATAATCATATTGTCGTGTTATTACTTATTATATTAATGCTAACATCATTAGTCCGTCAAGCTTCACTTTCAACATTTACTTTGATTTGATGGTTAGATCTTGATCGCTGTCTTGCACTGCGCTCGAAACCGAATCCACCCTGTCGTTGTCTAGAAATACAATAAACACAATAAACGTTATTGAAGCGAGCACAAATAGTTGAACGTATAATGATGTATTCGGATTTTACATTTGTTTTTGTACGTGCGGCTGTCTTGACTGCCGTTGGGAGATGAGAATTCGTTACTCCCGTCAAAGGCCATGAAATCCAGCAGCGGCTATTTAGACGACAAAAATGTACGTGATAATATATAATATTACGATCGACATTACGTCCAATTATTATACAAAATTATGACGTGCATTGCAGAAATTTTAATCAATCGTCATTGTTACCTTGGTGTTGTTGCTGTTGGCGTCCGTGTACTCGTTTCTCCACGACAGTTCTGAATCGGAATATGCCAGCGAGTCCAGCGACTCGGGTTTGGCCAAGAACCGTTTGGTCTTAGTGTGATCGTCGGTCACCGGTGAATCTGGCGGTGTCACGTCCACGCAGTTAAGTTCCTTCATCCGTTGTTGCATCGAACCCATGTCTATGATCTGCGCATACGAGAGGGAAATCGATGCATTAAAACACGCGTTGAGATACGGCTTTTGGTTCAAATCGAAAACGTATTTATTTAATTTTTGACGAGTACGACGAATAGGAATGTTCAAAAAAAAAAAAAATTGCAAAAGTAAAACCGGTGATGACAAAACCTGGTATAGTTCTAATGCGGTTACGTCTTGGAATATAGTAAAATAGTACTGGCATATGTATAGGTATATAAGGTATATATTATACGAGTTGTAATAATAGATTATACATGCATGCAATCGTAAGTTAATAAAAAACCATCAGCCTGACCGAAAGATGCGTAGGTAGCTGTTAAAAGAAAACGAATTACAGAATACATCTCGTCATCATCTCGACAAAGATATTAGCCATAGATGGAAACGTACATTGGACAGTGATATTATTCTTTTTTAAAATTCCTCTGAGTATTTTTTTTTACGAAAATCACAATAGGTGCTGCAAGGAGTGCCCCCGATAAATTAAGCGATAAATGGTGTTTAAGCCATTAAACATATATTATATCAATTTGTACTTTACTTATAAAAAGATTATGTATTATCGTAGTCGATTATAATAAATGGTATAATCCACATTATTATTATTCAAAAATATTATTGTATCCGAGTACAAAGACGGGTTGTGCTTCTTTCAGCCGATTGTATGGCTATAATAATAATTTGGTCTCGTGTTGCCTAATGCGCCGAATGAGGTTTCAGTTTATATTGGTTTTAATAAGTTACCGCGGTTACAGCAGTAGTTGGGACCGGTCTGCAGAATGGCGTACAGGGTAATTGTTGTCGGTAGCATTTCCCTAGACTCTGGGAGTTCTAGGTGGTGGGTAGCGTATATATAGATGTGTAAACGGAGAATGGATTTCTGTAGAAAAGCGTTTTTTGAGCGGGAGGGTGTTTTTTTGATAAAATCCTCGGGGAGGCCTTGATCTTGCGTAGTCCGATATCTTGGACCGTGGTAGGTGATAAGTGAAACCCCAGGCCGGGACGACATAATATAGGATAGCAACGGTTTTGAGTAAAATCTAAGATATTGTTTCGGTGTTGATTGGAATTGGGCTGGAACGGTTTGGTATCGGGTCGTGCAGTTGCGCTAGTCGAGGGCTAAATATAATAAAATTATATTTTGTTTTACAGACTCGATCGTAACTAAAACAAGCGTAATAATATTATACTATCGTGTGCAGTGGTGTTAAAATATTATCGTACACAGCTGCTGCAGTCCGCGTGTTTGATTATTTATGCGTTTCGTTGTGTTATAAATAAATATTAACGCGTATATGTTTCACGTGTTTTATCTCCGCGTTCGACATAATATTATACAACCATTGATTAATTATTGTACATATTAATAATCAAATGATATAATATTATCGCGTCGGTTTTAATTAAAACTACCACGCTAGCGTTTCTAATCGATCGAAACCCCCGCACAACGATAATTTAACCTCTTCATGCACGAATTTTTAGATTTTCATATTATGCGTATTATCAATACAGTAGGTTATCACACATGTGACTAAAAATTCTCATATAGTCTGAACATAGGAACGAATATTATGAGACGGTTGTTATCAAGTGTATCATATGATACCTTTATGCACAAATGGATCAAAAATATTTAACAGCTAAAATTAAATTAGTTGCGGTATCATATGATACCTACATGCACGAAGAGGATAAATCGAATCGATCGATATAAAACTAGAAAACAATGTACCTACGTATATTATAGGTAGCTGTATATACTCACTGCGTGTTTTGGCACAAAATCCAATTTCATGTTTGCGCAACGGTTCAGAGCGTGCAGTCTCCTGAACAACGATTGTAACGAGTCTAGGTCTAGAAACGGATGGTCCTTTTGTACGCCGTTCACGTCAATGGGAAATTGCAAATCTATACAGGAAAGAAAACGTCGTGGTGAAAAAATTCGGAAAATCGGACCCATGAGGTGTAATAATAATAATAATTTATTCACCTTCATACATTTGGAAGTACTGTGGAAATCCGGCGGCTCTTAGCCATTTACACGCTTCTTTGGCTTCTATTTCTGTAAAAAAAACGACGAAACACCTTTTTTTTAATACGGTTCGAATAACAGACGGATTCTGGTAATATTATCAAACATAATATCACATAAATTATGTACAAAAATCTAATAATCTCCGCCAGGATAACCATTAACAGACACGCTGCGTCGATACGATACGATATTATACTGCAGGCATTATAATATTGTTTAACACATACCTACCTAAAATAATTATCGAAAACCAAACGGCGCACCGAACACGATTTTTAAGTATTCGACTACGTCGACTAAATAATCATTAATCACAAATCATAATAAACTATTATAATAATAATATACATTATCGGGCGGGCGCAGAGCAATTCGTAAAAAGCGTGTGTTGTGCAGTAGGTAGACATTTTTATCGACTGGGTTTGTCGCATAGTTCGGGAAAATATGTTTATATGGCTAATGGCCATGAAACGGTTTCGTGTACGCGCGAATGACAAATAATAACAATAATTTTAATATTAATAACGACGAAACAGCCGTATTATAATATTGTGCGTTTATCGGTTTACGCGCACACCGCAATAAAACGATATTAAATTATATTGTGTAAATAATAATAATAATGATAATAATGCGTTGTAAATAGCACAGGATTGGCGCAACGAATCGGGGTCAGGTGCTTCCGAACCGAACGTCGCCGGCGAACGAGATAGAATAATAATATGACATCGCGGTTTGTCGACGTCGATCGTCAAGGACATCGCTGCAGGTACCAAGGTATATAATGGGTAAGTACCGCGTGCAGAACCGTGTTTACGTCTAGGTCGTTGGATTTTTGACGCGGCCTATATAATATTGTATATTATGATGGTGCGATCCGCAACGAGTCGAGATTTTTTCCGAGAGATTTTCGGTCCACTGCGTATTGTTTTAAATGTTTTTTTGATTATGATTTATACACATTAATTATCACCGTCACACGCACTTTCCACAGATTGTGAAGACCGCGAAGAGAGATATATATTGATCAATGTGGACGACAAACGGCGGTTTTTCCCGCTAAAAAATCTGTTTTCGTTCCACCGTAGTTAGGTGGACTTCATAATGATTTTTAAATCGGGTTTAGATTTTGTTAACATAACGTGAAAAATTTGTACTAATATACAACTATCAAAGTTTGACTTAAAAAATGCAATGCGTATTTATACATTTAATACAATATGCAATAATGAATAATTACGCTTCTACAGATAAATAAATGGAAAAAGTCGTTCGTAGTATCAAAATTGAGGAGTTCAAATCCGTTCCAATATCGAAATCGCATCATCGGATTTCGTCGGTATTATGGAACGAAAATTCGTAAAAGTAGCATTATTTTGCCTTAATATTGCCTATACAAAACGCCTTACAAACGACAAGTGTCGATTTTCGACAGTAGAGTAAATACTACTATTACTCAAGTGTGTGAAGTTAGCCCCCACCACTTTACTAAAAGACTTTCAAAATATTGGTAACCTTTTTTTTTTTTAATTTGGAACCAACTTTTCAAAATTTGGTAACTTCGTAGTTCAAGAGTTACAACAGGTTTCCCGATGAGGGGACAACTTCACGCGAGCCCCCCACTTTCACCAAATCGATTGAAATTAAAGTCATAATTTTCCTTTTAATTTGTAACCATTTGTAACCGACTTTTTAAAATTTGTAACCTCACAGTATCACAGTTGTGCCAAATTTCGAAAAGTCGGTTACAAATTAAAAAAATTAGGTTACAAATATTTTGAACGTTTTTTTTTAGTAAAGTCACACACGTCTATTACTCTATGATCCCGAACTATAGAAACCACGGGACCCTAGTCATAGCAACGAATATTTTAATTTATTTTTCTTAAAATCGCTGCTATAATTATATTTTTGCAACCGAACGGTATATTATAATATAGTTTTGCGTAACGTAACAACGGACGCCATGGTATGTATAATATTACAATGTTTAGGCGAAAAACATTGTTTCATATAGATTTTTATAGTAATTTATTGCGTAGGTATCTGGCTAGATCGAAGACTTCTGATGGAGGTATAATGCACAACAATGAAATATATAATATTATATGGATCAGGAGGGTCGCGGCGTGTCAGTTCAACACCGGCGAACGGAAACGTATTTTATTCGCATGATTGTGAACGGCACAATCATCCGGCCCACTTGACATAATATAATACTATATATAGTAGGTCACGAATTAATATATTATATTATTATTATTATTATGCTATTCGACATAATGATATTATATTATTATTGTACAAATAGGTATAGCCGTTTCAATTGAGACGCGCAGAAATATTATTATTGTTATTGTCGGGGTTTCTTATTTCTTGGTCAGACGTTCTATATAGGTATATTGTACAAAGAATACTATACAATAACCGGCATACTTTAGAATGTATAATATTAATTATTACTTGATATTTTGTTATTTATTTTATAGGAACTCGTATATAATATTATATAGTACTCGGTTTTTTATGGTTTTCGTATTTTCGTAAGTGAAAAGCGAAAAATTAACGATTTGAACATCAAAGACAATAATTATTACTGTAGTAAACCGACGGAGTCGATTCACTATTTTTTCTACTTTATTACATTGAAGCCACGGCCTTCACATTTCTAATATGTTATTTCTTTTTACGAGTTCCAAGAATCAAAGAACGTGAGAAGAACCAGTTAAAATGACATTTCGATTTAGACAGCGGAGCAGATTCAGTTTTATTACCTTTTGGTCGCAAACTACTTTTCGGCAGCTACAATAACAACAAGCTGCCGACTCGCCTTTTTGTCCACCTCCTAGTCTCTACCATGTATAACAGGGAGTACAGAGAACCATATAAATATGAGTCTCTGTACACCTTAGAATCAGAATTAGTCTCACATCCCTACATG